TCTGAGACCAGAAATATGTCAATAATATTAAGAGAGGTCGATTTCCTATTAAAATTTTATCATTATTCTTAAAGTTCAAAAAATTGAAAATGTTTTATAGAAAATTTTCTTTATTTTAGTTCATAATTTTAATAAAAATTAAATTTAAAAAATACATTTTCGACGACTGTTGTAGGAACCTCTTATCTCTGCGCATAATTAGTTTAAACAGTTAAATCCACATCGATACTATGACAAATAAATTAAAATCTAAATTAATTCCGCTTTACTATAAATCTGATTACACAGTTGTCAGATCAAAAAATATACATTATTTATTTAACAGTCGTAAGCCATATTTTTACGAATGAGATATTACTTTAAGTAATCACAGTTCCGTGTAAATCTAACTTAATTTTAAAGGATACGAAAGCTGCTCCTTAAAAATTTAAAATCAAAATTTAATTTGAATATGATAAAACTGTGTAGATAGTTTAGTTATCCAACGAAATTAATCGATCAGGAAATTTCCAATGATATTTATTCAGTTTAATTAAACATGTGTACAATAATTTTCTGCTTTGATATAATAATTCATAAGTAAACATCCTTCTGCAAATTCTGAAATATTGATAGTTTCTGCCTAGATATTTGTAAAATTTAATCGTAATTTTTTTATATTTTAAAATGAATTAATGATTTTAGGACACTTACTCTTATTCTATTAACATATTCTAATGAAATAAACTATTTCTAGACGTTACATATTACAATGAAACAATCAATTGTTTTCATTAACTTTTATTACTTAACAGCTTCCGGATCAAGCAATATAACAGAATAAAATTTGTCGAAAGCTTCTATTTCAATTATCAAATTTATTTTATTCTGATATGTAACGCCCGATTTATTTCCATCAGTATAATCTCTGGAATGCTTTGTAGTTGATATTTTACCTTATTAATAATTAATTATTGTGTTGGTGAAATGTTACCTACTCGGTTAAGTTCAGCAAGTATTCAAATATTCCAAATATTCGGTTTAGTATTGACACTTTATTATTGGTTATACGAGTTTGATACTGATTAATAAACGGGATTGATAATGATGGTAATTACCTTTCAACCTAATATATTCACAATTCACAAATTAGCTGTGATAAATACGCTTATATTTAAAGTTTATACGAAGTTTAAATGATCACACATTAATTTTAATCTAATTTGAATAACAATACTTAAAGTTTTACATGCGTGGTACAAATATAACTAATAAACATCTTTATACATTTTTATAGAATTTAAGGTCCAGGATGTTACACTTATATGCATTATGCGTGCAAATTATTAATAAATAAATCTTATATACTATACATAACAAAGATAACTACAGGGAATAAAAAAGTTCAATTTCAAATTCAAAAGCAAAATTCTGATAAAATTTATTTACTCATATTATTTTACTTTGCATATATTCTAATATTATTTCATGTAAATTATATAAATCATAATTTTACCTGTAAATATCTCATTGTCTCAACTCACTACAATAGTTTTATCATTCTGAACCAAATTCTGTCATTATTTTTTATATACAAATAAAGTTTTAAATGGAGTAATAAAGAAATCATTACGTATTATCGGAACAATTTTAAGTGTTTATATTATCAATATATTTTTCCATTTAAGTTTTAAAATAAAATCATTTTCATCATCCTTATCTTAGCTGCTTACACATCCAATATTTTGTAATATAGTTTTAGTTAAGGATTAAGTTTATTATTATTAAGTTATTATTATTATAAGATTAAGTTGATGATATGAAACCGTGCTTTGCTATTTGTTTATGCTTCTGACACAATATAGTGCTATAAATTAAGACACTTGGCGGATTTTTTCATCTTTATTTAGTTGATACGTGTGGAAAAAATTACACGTTTCGAGCTCTTAAGCCCCTCTTCAGTCAACTAAAACATTTAAAAAGGATATAACATACACATAAAAAGGAATACACAAGTTTTGTAAAATTTTTAAAAAATAAAACATACCTATCCATACAGGTTTTATAAATTAAAGTAGCAGTTTACTTTCGATATTTTTTCAGCAACATCAGCTTATTCACAGTATTTTTTCTTGTAGCCTACTATAATATTAGGAGAGTATACAACGTATCTATATAAAACTATACATAAGTTTTATAGTATCTATAAAACTATATTTAATTAAGGCATACCTTGAGTACGGCTGTTATTAAGGTTGTACTGTACAAAATTGATTATACCTTTTACTTATAAAACAGTCTTACAAAATCCTTGGTCTAAAATATACCTTAGACAACAATTATCAAATTGGTATACAATTGATTATGCTTTTTACTCATAAATCTGTTTTACTAAATCCTTATTTCCTTTGATAAGCATTGACAATATAATACGAATTTACATAACTTCTACAATATAAATTTACATATCTGACATCTACTATATTTTTACAATATATGATTGTTGATTTATTTAACATTAC